CTCCAGCCCCATTCCTTTGCAGGATGTTTCTTTCCCCGTGGCCTTTCTTGCAGAGCACCTCCCTGCCACACACCGGGGTCAGCCCTGGATTGCTGCTGGTCCCCATGGAGGGATGCTCCATGTGCTACAGCAGCCCCAGCAGCACCCCCACTGCTGTTGGGCTGTTACAGCTCCCAGCGAAGGCAGCAGCACCCCGGGGCGATGCTCCAAGGCTGGGGTTAAACCACAGCCACCTGCTGGAGCAGAGCTGCATCGTTGCTGGGGTCAGCGCCAGCAGAGCGGTGAGCAAAACCTTTCCCACCACTGCGCCCCCAAGGCTGGGCACAGCAGGGGCAGGATTTGGGGCAAACCCAGCACCCGGCTCCCCACAAACCAGCATCACAGCCATACACCGTGCGGCTCCTTGGAGGCGAGCGTTTATTTTTGTAGAGCCTTAAATACTGCCCGATAGCATCCTTCCCTTGGCAGGAAAACTTGCTCAGCAGAGAGGTTCTGATGGGGAGCCCAGGGATGGGGAGCACGGAGAGTCAACCTGCACTCAGGAAGCGGTGCCCCCTGCCATGCCTGCCCCATGGCCTCGCCCCAGGGGTGATTCAGGCTCTGGGCAGCACCGTGCCTGCTGCCCACACACACTGCTACCCAAGGGCCATGCATGCGCTCATCCCCACGCTTTGCTTTATGGTCCTTCGCCCTCGCAGCAGCGGTGCTGCCCGTGCCATCAGAAAGCTGCGGCTCGTCACCCCAGATCCGGCAGAACGACTGTATATAGGTCACCCCCTCCCTACCACCCCTTTATCCCCTCCGTCCCCGCGTTGCTCTAGTACGAAACTCACCTAATTTATTGACTGGGTGCTATCTTGTTCATTCACACCGACGAGTTCCTCCGCTGTAGGAGAGCTGTGTTGCGGGACAACGCCGAGCGGCTCTGCGGTGTTTGCCCGATGGGCTCCGTGGCCGGGTCACGGGGTGCCTTCCTCAGCCATTCCCCCCCTTCTTTAGGATGTTCATGGTGCTTATTAGGCTCCTCATGGTCGTACGGTGTCGTCCCCACTGTCCCGCGATGATAGCTGCCTGCAGCTGCTCTGCTCCAGACAAGTGTCATGGTTGCTGTTCTAATAAAGGACTTTTATCAGATTAAAACTCAGCTTCCGTGAGCATCTCTGCGCCACCTGCAGCCCCTGCAGCATCCTCATCCTCAGGGTTGGGCATTGAATAGAATCGTGGAATCGTTGTGATTGGGTCTGAAATGACACAGTGCTGGCTTTTATATGGGGTGTGCACAGCTCCCAGATCCAAGGGCTCAGCTGCTGTCCCAAAGTGCCTTTTCCCAACCCTGCACCTCTCCAAGGATGCTCATAAGCGTGGGTTATTTCCGAGCACATTCAGGAGTGATTTCAGGAAGGTCGTTGCCATCCAGGCTGGGATGTGTGGAATCACAGAATCACAGAATGGCCCGGGTTGGAAGGGACCTCAAGGATCACGAAGCTCCAACCCCCCACCACACGCAGGGCCACCAACCTCCACATCTCACAGCAGCCCAGGCTGCCCAGGGCCCCATCCAACCTGGCCTTGAACACCTCCAGGGATGGACGGGGCATCCACAGCCTCTCTGGGCAGCTGTTCCAGCACCTCACCACTCTCACAGCAAACAACTTCCCCCTGACATCCAACTGAAATCTGCCCTCCTTATGGAAGGAGGAAGAATCTTTCCTCCTTATGGAGGGAGGGAAGGCACCTGGTGGGATGCAGGGAGGGGAGAAAACCAACTAGAAAAGGGGTGGTGTTCAAAAATTCCAGAAAATCCCTTAGAAATCAAGTGGGCAGCCTGGGCTGCTATGGAATGTGGAGGTTGGTGGCCCTGCCTGTGGTTGGGGGGGGGGTTGGAGCTTCGTGATCCTTGAGGTCCCTTCCAACCCGGGCCGTTCTGTGATTCTGGGTGTGGGGAAAAGGGATCTTTGTGGGAGGGTGCGGGAGATGTGGTTGTGGGCGAGTCCCCGACGTAGGGTGCAGAGGAGATGCGTGCAAAAGGGATGCAGGGGAGGGCAGGAGGAGCAATGGGGTACGGGTAGAGCGGAGCAGCACAGCCGGCTGCCCGGCCCTCCCCCCTCCAGGAGCGGCCCTGCCCCTCCCGCTGTCCCCTCCCTCGGGGGCGGCCCGGCCCCTGGCGGAGCTCAGCCCCAGGGCGGTGCCAGCCCGGACCGAGGCGGAACCCCGCGGCCGTCCGCGCTCCGTTCCCCGCAGCGATGTCTCGGCCGCTGTCGGACCAGGAACGACGGAAGCAGATCAGCATCCGCGGCATCGTGGGAGCCGAGAACGTAGCCGAGCTGAAGCGGGGCTTCAACCGGCACCTGCATTTCACGTTGGTTAAAGATCGCAACGTGGCCACCCCCCGCGACTACTACTTCGCGTTGGCCCACACCGTGCGGGACCATCTGGTGGGGCGATGGATCCGCACGCAGCAATATTACTACGAGAGGGACCCCAAGGTGGGTTCGGGGGGAGGTGGGCTGTGGGGCACGGGGAGCTCGGGGCGATGCGTTCCTCCTCCGTAGGGCTGCGCTGCTCAACTTTGCAAAGCGTCCCGGGTGGACTTTAGCGGGCGAGGCCGCTGCCCTTTGCTTTGCAAAACAAACAGAGCGCGTTGGTTCCGAGTATGGGAACGGCGGTGTTGTTCCCTTATGGGAACGGCGCTGTCCCGTATGGGAATGGCGTTGCTGTCCCCTATGGGAGTGGCATCGTCTTGTGGGGGAGCGGTGATGTTGTTGGCGTGGGAGCGCCTCGGGGAACGCTGCGTTCCCGTGGAGGGAGGATTGGGTTTGCGGAACAAATGGAGCTGAAAGCCCGCAGGCAGAGCTCGTTCTGCACCGCCTGGGGCCGAGGGCGGGCCGTGTTGGGGGGTTTGCACCGGGCTCTGCTGGGGATTAAGCTCTAATCCCATCCTGCCACCTGCACGGCGCTGTCGGCTCCAATTTATCCCAATTTATCAATTAATGGGAGCTGGAGCCCCGGTGCGACTCTGCCGCAGGGCTCCAAATGCGGGACCCCCCCCCCAGGTGCCACCGATCCCATTGCATCCCACTGTGTGTGCAGTCAGCACTTCTGCAGCCCCAGTCCTCCCTAAACCCATCACTGCTGACGCCGCAGGATGGGTGGCTCACAGAGCTGCTGCTCTTGGTGCCCTGCTGCATCACACACCTGGTGGGTCCAAAGCCCATGGGATGGCAGCATGCAGGGAAATGGGATGTGCCCGGTTCTGCTTTGTGGTGCTGAGCAATATTAGGAAATGGGTCTTCTTTAAATTTAAACTTTGTACCAACGGGAGTCAACTCTTTGAGAGGGTAGATAACAGCAGGACAAGGGGAAATGGTTTGGAGTTGAGGGAGGGCAGATTTAAGTTGGATGTCAGGGGGAAGTTGTTTGCTGTGAGAGTGGTGAGGTGCTGGAACAGCTGCCCAGAGAGGCTGTGGATGCCCCGTCCATCCCTGGAGGTGTTCAAGGCCAGGTTGGATGGGGCCCTGGGCAGCCTGGGCTGCTGTGAAATGTGGAGGTTGGTGGCCCTGCCTGTGGTGGGGGGTTGGAGCTTCGTGATCCTTGAGTTCCCTTCCAACCCAGGCCATCCTGTGATTCTGTGTGACCTTCCCATCCAAACAAACCCTCCTGAAAAGTAACATGGGGTGAAAATAGGAGTAATAGGGGTGGGATAAAATAGGTAACATAGGGATGAGGGCAATGGACCCCCTCCAGGCCCAAAATCCCCACTCAAAGCGTGCTGAGAGGTGGGGTTTTCCATTGGAGCTCTGCTTTGGGAGCAGCAGCCCATGGGGTTGGCTGAGCGCTAAGCGGGACGCCTTCCTCCTGCAGAGGATCTATTACCTCTCCCTGGAGTTCTACATGGGCCGGACGCTGCAGAACACCATGATCAACCTGGGGCTGCAGAACGCCTGCGATGAGGCTGTGTACCAGGTGAGCACTGAGCTCCAACCCTTGTGGGGTGACATTCGGGCTGCTGAAGGGCTTTGTTTGTTTGTTTGCTTTTCTCTCCTCCCACCCCTCTGCCCCGTGCAGGGCAGTCACTGCTCAGCTGGAGCGGTTGCACAACAGCAGGAGCAGCTTTCAAGCAAATGACATTCAAAGGGAGGGCGATTTATCTGTGGGGCTTTCCTGAAGCTGTTAGCACAGTGAGGGCAGCAGCCCGGCCAGAAGCAGGCGGGTATAGGAAGAGCCTCGGGTGTTGCATAGTGATTGCACAGCTGTGCAACAGGCTGAGTGCTGAATGTCTGCAAGAAAATGTTTGGCTCTGTATGCGTTGGTTTAAATGTGCATAGTGGTGCAGTTCAGTGCAATGCAGAGATGGGCTGGTGCTGCAGGACCGGCTGGGGAGCTTTGGGATGGGGAGAACGTGGGCAAACACGTTGGTTGTGGGTTTTTTTTGGAGAAGTGGGAGCTGGTGGCTCAGCTGAGTTCTTCCTGAGCTGCCCTGGGAGCTTTGCATAAGCAAAACCTCTTCCTTGACAGCAATGTGAGCTGAAAGCTGGAGATGTGTTTGTAGGGGTGCTGTAGCCACATCTCTGCTTGTCCTTAAGTAGAGTGGAGCCACCTGTAAGCTTGCCCACAACGAGGGGAAGGATGTGGGTGTCCCTCATCGTGACCCAAAGCACTGGGGATGGACCCTGCCCCCCTCCCTCATGTTCCCATGTCCCAGCAGTGCGGGCAGCACCTTCACTGGGTGAGGGGTGCGGGGTGGGCACTCAGTCCCATTGCCTCCTCCTTGTCCTCAGCTGGGGTTGGATATAGAAGAGCTGGAGGAGATCGAGGAAGATGCCGGGCTGGGTAACGGTGGGCTCGGCCGGCTTGCAGGTGAGACAACCCCCAAAAGGTGTTGTTCCCGGGGTGGGGGCACATCCCATATGTGGGACCCGTGCCCTGGGGCTCCCTGCT